CTCTAACGCTTGAAAATTGGTGCCGACTAGATGACTAGTAGTGGCGCTCGCCAGAACTACTGTGCGCGGAAATGACACCGAAGGTTGCCGCCATATGATTTCTTAAATGTAACGTTAAATGTGATCGCACCATTGCATAAAAATAGGGATTACCATTGGAGTTACTTGTTCATTAGCATAATTTTTCACTGAAAGTGACAGAGAATAAGGCTCTCCGACTTTTCCAGCTTGAAAACTGCAAAGCTGGTCAACGAATGTGCCGAACGCCATGTGCTGGAGGAAACACGCTGCTGACGCTCCGGGCGCCGTTATTTGGAAGAAACGAAAAGAAAAAAAATTGGCAGATCCCACGTTTAGTGGGAATCGATGATATGCGAAGCATGAATGAGAAAGGTCGACATGTCATTTTAAAATCAGCACAACGTTATGAGGTGGAAGGTAAACATTGCCTACATGACTTCCGTGTCATGATTATCATGTTTGGATGTGTCGCTTACCTTTGCCACCTATTCACGTCACGTCACACCAAATTTAGTATTTGTGGAGCTAGCGATACGGCCGCGAGCACGCTATGAGCGTGGTATGTTGTCATGCTCTTACATCACACGCGTGTCAAGATTATCATGTTTGCACCAGTTATATAGTTTCGTCATTCTATTTACGTCACGTAACACCTAGTTTTGTATAATGTGGAGCTAGCAAAACTGGCCGAGAGCACATCATGAAGAGCCCAATATATTCTAATGCAGCGTTGACGCATGCGCACTCTGAGTTGAGTTAAATAAGCTTTATTAGCCCAACGGTTGTTGCTGTGCCCGGGGCTAGGCTGCCAGGGACACATCGTTCGAGGAACATCTATTGAGGTCCTCGGCGACGGCCCTGGCCCGCTGGACGGCCCACACCTGGTCTTCGAGGCCCTCGCTGAGAAGGGCGGCTTACCATCGCTCAGCAAGGTGCCCCATTTCAGTGGGTACCTCAGTTGACGTCATCCTTTCTCGTGGCCTATCTTCACCTCTTTCGCATTGCCAAAGTATATGTGCCATATCGGCCCGTTCGTGCGCGCACAACGGGAAGCCAGGGCCATAAGTGGTGCAGATGATAGGGGTTGGTGAACGTGCCCGTCTGCAGCCTTCTCAGGTCCACCACCTGCGACCTGTCCAGGCACACGTGGGGTTGCGGAAATTTCTTCCGGTCTTTCCTATAGTGCGCAAGCACGTCGTGGTACGTGGCAAGAATTTCTTCTCCATAGCAGTCGGCGCACCTCTGTTGTCTCGCCTCTTCTGCACCAAAACTTCAGTTGCTGCAGCAACGGACGTGGTGGGGGTGGTAATTTCGGCATTGCCAGTGCCTGTGGCCACCACCGTGCCTCGGTTGGTGCTCCTCCCAACTACGGTGGCGGCTACTCACTTGGTGGCTGCGTCGCGGTGGGTAAGTTGCCTCGCGACGAGGTGGGCGCGCTCGTTATGGTTGGGTGGGATGCCGCTTAGTTTTTGGCTGTTGGCGTTGTTGCTGCTTGTTTTACGGCTGTTGTTGTTGATAGTTCCACTGTCCCCCATGTGAGCGGGAAACCACTTGAGGGCCTTGTCAGTAATCTTGCCTGACGCGAAGTCCCCAGCTCTGGCGTTAAGCATGCGTGCCACCTCCTCGGACACCCAGCCTTCGATATAGCTCCGAATCGCTGATTTAGAATCGCTAATAATCAGGCTGTCGTCTGCACCGCTGTGGAGTACCGCTAAAGCTATGACCATTTCTTGTGCAGCTTCGGATGATGGCAGCCGTGCTGATGCCGTGACCCGAACCTTTCCTGTTGTATCCAGGACCGCCATAGAGAAAGCAGGTCCCTCTGCCGCCGACCGGACTCGCTGTTGATGTTGCCGCTGAGTGGTGGCTGCAGTCGTTGTTGTCGTAGCAGTAGCAGTGGTGGTAGTGTTAGCGCCTCGACTTCGCCTCGCTCGTTCACGGGTAGCGGCGGTGGTTCCGAGCGTCCCCCATCGCCCCCGCCGGCTGACAGTGGATACCTGGCCGCATCGACAAAGAGGACACCCTCTTGGCTTCCATGTGCCTTGAGGATTGCTGCAGCTCTGCATTTGCGTCGTTGCAAGTCGTGAACGGGGTGCATGTTCCTGGGGATGTTTTCTATCAGTATGGCGTCCCTGACTTCTGGTAGCAACGCTTCCTTCAGTCCATGCGCCTCGTGATATCGAATCCTAAGCAGATCGAGAATGCGTCTTCCCGTTCTTGTGCCAGACAACCTCTCGAGCTGCGCGACCCTCTGCGCTTCTGCTATCTCGTCGAGGGTGTTGTGCACACCCAGCTCTAGAAGCCGACGAGTTTCCGTGTACTGGGCCACACCCAGGGCTACCTTGAACGCTCGGTGAATTGCCGCGTTCAGCTTCTCGGTTTCACTTCTGTTCCAGTCGGCATACGCGGCGACATGCGCTATGTGGCTCAGCGCATACGCATATATTAACTTCGTCAGGTTGTGTTTCTTTAGCCCTTTCCTTTTTTTTTGCTACCCGACGCACTAGGTGCGTTGCGGCAGCCACTTTCTTTTGCAGTCGTGCTACCAGCTCGTGGTTCGCACCGTTCTCTTCCAGCCACAGGCCGAGCACTCGTATTTTGGACACCGTTGGTATTTGGGTCCTTTCCTTCGTCATGACGTGGATGCCTAAGCGACGGGCGTCCAGTACAGCCTGCGGGTGAGGTCCTTTCTTGCGTGGTCTGTGCAGGAGTATTTCCAATTTATCGGGACAGCAGACGAGTCCCGTGCCTTCGAGGTGCTGCTCCATGGCCCGGACGGCCTGCTGCATTCTTTCTTGCATTTCACCAACGTTCGTATTCGCTGTGGTCCACACGGTCACGTCGTCCACGTAGATCGTGTGATTGATGCCCTCTAATGCGTCGAGACGGTCCGGTAGTCCAATCATGATGAGGTTGAAAAGCATGGGAGAGAGCACCGATTCCTGTGGCGTACTCGCACCCCCCCATGTCAACTGTTCGTGGTGGGGCACCGTCAACCTTCACCGTCGCCTTGCGTCCGGTCAGGAAGCTGCTGACGTACCGGTGGAACCTTCAACCAAGACCTAGTTGGCTGATCTTGTCCAAAATGGCAGCATGTTTTACTGTATTGAAGGCGCTTTTGAGGTCTAACCCGAGCAGGGCACGAACGTGCGTGCTTGGTGCGTTTTAGACGTGTTCCTTGATTTGCAGCATAGCATCCTGCGTCGAAAGTCCTTTGCGGAAGCCGATTATGTGAGTGCCGAAGGCATCCCGCTTCTTGAGAATCGTCGTCACCCTGTTGAGGCAGGCGTGCTCCATGACTTTCCCGACGCAGGACGTCAGAGATATCGGCCTCATATTTCGAACCTCAAGTGGTTTACCTGGCTTGGGTATTAGTGTGACATCTGCTGTCTTCCATTCTTGTGGAATACGGCCTTCCTTACAGCATGCGTTGACTATACTGACGTAGCTTCTCGATGGCGTCATCATTCAGGTTCCTCAGAATTCGGTTGGTGATCTTGTCAGGACCGGGCGCCGATTTAGTTTTCAGTAGCTGGAGGACTGCGCTAATTTCCTTGCATGGAAAATTCCGCGTCTGAGTTCCTCGTTGGGAGCCCCACAGTATTCCATGTGACTCTCGCCTGCCGGGCGAGTGAGGTGCGTCTGGATTATCTCCTCCACGAAGGCCTGCGGGTCGTCTCTGTACTTGTGTCGCAGCTTGGCCAGTCTGGACCCGAGTCGCCGTTTTCGAGCTGGTTGGATCCAGCAGGTGCCTGAGAATCTTCTATGTGCGCCCTGCACTCATGTTTCCGTCCATCGTATCGCACAGCTCCTGCCATTCCTGTTCGCACAGTCGAACGCAGTGGGCCTCAATCTCTCAGGTTGATCTCGGCAATCTTCTTGCGTATCTTCCTGTTCAGTTTCTGCTGACTCGCTCTTCGCTGCATAGATTTCTTGGCCTCTACAAGATGCTCAAGCCGGCTGTCCACCCTGGACAGCTCGGGAACGCGGTCGTCGACGCTTCCGCGGGGCCTGTCGCCACCTTCACGCTCTTTTCGCCTGTCTGGCCATTCTATTTCTTTTGTAGCTTTTTCTACGTCCGCGAGTAGTTCCCTGCACCATTCCCCGATATCCTCTGTCGGCGCTTCTTGCTTCTCTCGTTATCTTTGCTCTCGAAAATTGCCCCAGTCCACCACTCTAGCTTTTTGGCAGCCGTTCATTTTGCCTCTATCCTCTCAAATTGTCATGCACAGGACTCTGTGGTCGCTCCCCAGATCCTCAAAGGTGTTCGACCAGGTGATCGCGCCCGCGTCTGACCAAAGAGAGAGATCAGAGGACGTGTCGCGGCACGCGCCCTGTCCAATCCGGGTGTGCGATGCCGGTTCATTGAGTAGAACCAAGCCAAGCTCGTCCATCAGTTCGGCTAGCCTCTTCTCTTTGGGCGAGTCGGCTCCATATCCCCATTGCGTGTGCGGTGCATTGAAGTCTCCGCAGATTAAGAGGGGACTGGATGCGGCATTCGCCATCGCTTCACGAAAAAGGGCACCAAAGTTGTGCGTGAGGCCCCTTTTTGAAGGGGGGCTGTACACGTTAAGCACGAATAGGCCGGTCTTCCGGTTTCCAATGCAGGGCACGACCTCACTCAGGTTGTGGTCTACGTCCGACTCCTCGCTGATATCAAGTGAATGGTTGATAAAGGCCGTTGCTCTCTTAACTAGGGTACACACCTTTATGTCCTTCCGCGTGCATTCACATGGAGAGCCACATGCCACATAGCCTGGCAGCTGAGCCCGGTCGAAGGGTTCTTGCAAAGCAATCACGTCGGGAAGTTTGCTTTTCGAGAGAGTTTTCATATATTGCACCATTGTAGCTTTTTTGTTTTTGAAGCCCCTACAGTTCCATTGCCAGACGGTGCGTCTGCCGACAAACTTGCGGGACGCAACCATGGTTGCTATTCAAAGGCGTTGGGGGAACGCGACTGCCCGTGCGTCCCTCCTTCTTCAGTGTGGGTGGTGTTGACATTGCTGCTTCTGTAGAGAATGGTCGATACGTCCCCTCCCAGTTTGTCGTGGCCTTGTCCCTGTTGCTGCAACTGCGCCGTCCCGCGTTCCAAATATTCGATGCGGCTTTTTCACGGCCGCAAGTAGGTTATTGACCACGGCATACTGTGCGTTCCTTTCGGCGTCAGACTCGTTCAGCCGAATTAGGAGCGTCTCAAACAGTCCCTCTCTCTTGTTGGTTAGTTTGTCTACCATTTCTTCGATCACGTCTATCTTTCGGCCTGCCGGTCGTGCCCGCTTTGGTTCTTGCGTGTGATTTTCAGCGCCTTCAAAATGTTGAGAATCACTTGGGCTCTTACGCTTAAGGCCCACCACCACCGGCGCTTCATATTCACCTCCACAGCCCATGTCCGTGTCCCCGCCTCCTACTGCTGAAGTTGTGTCGTGTTCATCGGCAGCTCCATGGGACAAGGAGGCGCCAGAGGATGGGGTCTCTGCGGGGTGTCCTCCCATTCGCTTGAGGATTTCGTTCAGTGTCTGTTGTAGCTCCTCAATTTTCCGCGTTGATTTTTCATTCTGCTTTCTGGCCTTGGCCAACTCTTGTCTAAGCTCCCTATTCTCTTTCTCCATGTTCTCCATCCTCGCTGCCAGGCCGGGGTCGGCGGCTACCCGCGGGCGGCCGGACAGAGGGTGACTCTGTGCGGAGTCCGCCTTTGTTCCCGTGACTACGTCACACCAGGTGATTTTGCGCGGCCCTTTCTGTTTCCCGCCAGGTGTGGCCCCTCCTATGTCTTGTTGGGGGTGGTGTCGGTTCTCACTGCGGCTTCTGCTCCGACTCCAACTTCTGCTCGTATTACGACTTTTGCTTCGTCTTTCTACTGGCGAGGGGGATCCGGATCTAGTTGAACGACCCATGACCTGTTGGGAGCGGGTTCTGGATCTCGAACGACTAGGGTGGCCTCCTTCCACCGCACCAGCATTGCTATCCGATGGTGACGGGGTTCGCTCTTGGAAGTCTCTGAACCTGGCCTCCCACCTCCTTTGCTTCACTATGTGCGGCACCTTGTATTTGCCCTTGCACATCCTGTCAGCCGTGGGGTGCGCCTCACGACATATTCGGCACTGGGGCGTACACTCGTGTCCATTGATGGGGTTATTTAATCGACAAATTGGGCACATTTTGATATCTGAACTTGTGCACACGTCAGGTCTGGGGCTGAGCCTGCCACATTCCTTGCAGAAGTCTATCTGTTTCCGGTACAGAGATACTCTTATCAGGACGCTGTTGAAGTAAACCCATGAAGAAACTCGGTTTCCTTCATAGAGCAGTATCACATTTGTTGTACTACCGAGCCTCTTCGCATACTTTAGAGAGGGGTTTCTTGTATTCACCAGTGCTTCCACGAGCTGATCTTGATTATCTTTAAGAGGTACATTCCGTATGATTCCTTTTGTCATATTTTCAGGCGCTGAAACATATGCGTTCGTTTTGTACCTCTTTCCGTTGATAGTCAAAACTGGCGATTTTCGTCGCTGTGCTTTCCTCCGGTGTTCTTATCACCAAAATGTTTTGCATGGGGTCGGGGCAGATCGTGATCATCTCGTCGTCGCCCACGCCTGCTCCGTTGCGTATCGCCTCATCAAGGCTCGCACCACACGTGCTCCTTACATTCAGCCCATCCCTTGGTCGAACAATTACCTTGATATCGTCCCTGGGCAGTCTGGGCATCTTGCTTGCTCGTAGAACCTTGCTGACAATGCTTCGGAGGCCTTGGCGCATTGGGCTTGGTGAACGGGCGTCTTCTTGTCTAACCACCTTGTTCTGGCGCGCGCGTCCTCTATTTTTCGTGTAGCTTCAATCCAGCCATCTGCAACGCTGTCAGCGTCTTCGTCTTCACTCGTGGAAACGCTTCTTGTTTGTTCAGTTCTGTGGTCCGTGGCTTCCCCTGTCCCTGCCTCGTCTACATCCATCTCAGGTGTTCTTTCAGTCTTCGAGTTAGACGCGGTATGCGCCAGGCCCAACCACCGTTAGGCCTAGACGCTCACTCGTATAGTTTTGCAGTTTACAAGCCTTAAAGCTCGTAAAGCTCACGCTCACCGTTAAAAGCTGGCATCCATGGGTTCGCGATGACTTGATCTGTCCGATGGTGTGCCACTTTTAAGGGTAGAGTTCGAAAAACATTGCGCACTCTGACACAGCGAAATGCGAGCACTTTATAGTCTGACGCCAAGCGCGACCGGTGCGACCAGCGTCCGTCGGCGCGGCCCGGCGGCAATCGGCGCGAAATGTGACATGCTGCATTTCGCGCCGATGCGTTACCCAGACACCACTGCGTCCCTCTTTTTGTGAAAGGGGATGCCGGACGCGCTGAAAACGCGCGTGCGTCAAAGCAACGCAGCGTGGCGCGCAGCCTGCGAGTATATGGCAGGTCTGGCAGCCTACCGTGGCAACGCCAGCAGCGACGCGACGAAATGAACGCCGGCGAGCATGCTCACCGCTTCACGTCGAAATGTATTAGCGACTTGACTGTGGCATGTAGTCATGTTCTCACATGACACGCATCTCTTGATTATGATGTTTGCACCAGTCACATACCTCCGTCAATCATTGACGACACGTAATACCGAATTTGGTATATGTGAAGCTACCGAAACGGCCACGAGCGCATCATGAGTGTGGCATGTAGTCATCTTGTTACATGACACGCCTGTCATGATTATCACGTTTCGATGTGCCATTTACCTATGTCATCCGTTCGCATCAAGTGATATCGAATTTGGTACATGTGAAGCTAACTAAATGGCAGCGAGCACTAATGAGCGTAGCATGTAGTCATGTCGTTACATGAAAGCGCATCTCATGTTATCTAGCGAAACGGCAGCGAGCGCTTCATGAGCGTAGCAGTGTAGTCATGTTGTTACATAGCACGCATCTTATGTTTATCATGTTTGCACAAGTATCATACCTTCGTCATTCATTCACATCCCGCAATACCAAATATGGTAAAAGTGAAGTTAACGAAATGGCAACCTGCGCATCATGAGCGTGGCATGTAGTAATGTTACATGACACGCATCTGAAGGTTATCATGTTTGCACCACTCACGTACCTTCGTCCTCATTCTCATGCTGTAATACCAAATTTGGTATATGTGACGCTAGCGAAACAGCCACTAGCGCTTCATGAACGTGGCATGTAGTAATGTTGTTACATGACACGCATGTCATGACTTTCACGTTAGGGTCTGTCGCTTGTGTTCGCGATGCAGTCATGTCATACCATACCAGTTTCGCAACATGCCATGTGAACGATACCACCGGGAAAGCTTGCAGGATCAGGAATTGTAAATCACGACATTCATAAGAAAGATATCATGTTTTTCATGTTATGACTAGTCAGACATGTTCTCTATACAGTCATGTTGTGTTATACTAAGTTTGGTATCGATACCACTACCAAAACGGCCAGGAGAGCTAAAAGTCGTCGGCGGCTAGATAGATAGATAGATAGATAGATAGATATATAGATAGATAGATAGATACGCTCAAAGTCGCCGAAGTTCACTAAGAATTGCTTCGCATTAAAAAAATATAGAAGCGTTGATATATATATACGTCATATTGCAAAAAGAAGATCAGTAAAGCTACAAAATTTATAGAAGTGTTAGCGGGCTGGCTCGTTTCGCACGTTTTGTTCCAACTGCAAGTACCACATTGTTCGTTACCATCGCAACGGCGTCGGTAGTACGCTGGACGTAACAGGCTGTATGCCATGCGAGCTTCCTGTACGGTAGCGCTTTCAGTTCGTTTCCGTGGGTAGCCTTCCAACGTCAGAGGGCGAGGGAAACACGGTAAGGTGAGCCCACAAAAATTAAATTGAGGGTAAGCATCAATTTCATTGTATTTTGATATCTCTACGCTGAATGACTTTGCACTTCGTGGTCCTATCGCTGCCTTTCTTGCTGCTCTGATCTCTTAAGCCGTGAGTGTACGCAACCAGCTCGAAAAAACATGTAAAACTATGAAGTCGTATAAAGTGTTAAATGACCCTTTCAAGTAATTTTTCTAACACGAGAGTGCTTTATGTCAGGGCCTACGAAGATTTCAGTGACGTACTTCCGTCATGAAAAAATTTACACGATAGATGTCAAAGAACAAAGTGTGGGGATCCTTCAGCTTCGTGTTTAAAAGTTGGACGCTATAGAAGTATTCTGTCCCTAGCACGCACTTTAAACACTTAGTGCATACTTGTATTGCATGGTGTTACTAGAGTCGTTTAAATGGTAGATCACTGCAATTTTATCGAAAAAGTGTCATTGTTGTATCTCTGTCGTGAAAAAAAAAGGAGGATGCTTGAGCTTTTCCTTCGAGAGTAGAAGGCGATAGCGCGATCGGCACAGTGGGTGCACCTTCGTAGCCTGACTTGTATTGTCGGTACATGCCTGAACCGTGCCGTAGGGAAACGAATGACTGGGTACGTAACATTGACCGTTTGAAAATATCTTGGAATGTCGACTGCAAGTACAGTTGAGTTTCCGCTACGCCATAATTCTTCCTTTGGCGAATCAGTGGAGGGCCCGTGAGGCATCCGTAAGTCTACACCAGTGGTTATCCTGGTTGATAAAATATCGTCGTGGGCAAGATAACCGCTGGTCATTGAGGGTAACTGACTGGATTTCCACAGAAGGCGAACCGACGAACGGGAGAAGAAAGTTAGGTGGGTCGATGAGATTAAAAAATTGGCAGCATATCCACGGAGTGAATGATGGAGAGTGGGGCGAAGCATTCGTCTGTCCATTCGTTGTTGCTTCCGTCCCTCCATGCGTCCGTCTGTGTGACCGTCCATGCCTCCATCCGCCCGTCCGTGCGTGCGTCTGTTCGTGCGTCCGTCCCTGCATTCGTCCATGCATCCGCTCCTGCGTCCGTTCATGCGTCCATCCATGCATCTGTCTGTGCGTCCATTCGTCCATCTATTCAATACTCCGAGTACCACCATCTCGCCACCGACATCCAGCGGGCCTTCCAAGGACTGAACGAGAGGACGCACACGCACACTTTCTTATGGCTTGCGCTTTGTATCTACTTCCCACCTTTAACCACCTCGAGTTCATTCATGGTATATATTAGTTCATGGTATTCATGGCACTGCGGCTCAACGCTCGCTAAACCTTTCTAAAACTAAGGAGGTTACATCCAGCGAGTAAAACGTAGCAACCCTTTCTTGTCAGATAGTGCTCAATGTACATGCCAATGGCTACTAATGGTGAATGAGAGACAGGAGAATTCGGCTTTTAGCCGAATTCTCCTGTCTTTAACTGAAAGCCGAATGCTCCTGTCTCTTATTCCCCATTAGCAGCCATTGGTAGGTACATTGAGCACTATTTTTTATTGTTCAACAACGCACAGATGTCTTTCTGGTTAACCTCCCTGCCTTCTCCCTTTTTGTTGCTTCCTCCTTCTCCAACGCACAGAAGAAATCTCTCACCGGCACCACCTTGGAGATCAAAATGTTATACTTTTTACATACTACAACGGCTACAAGAGACGAACGGGTGTCGCTATAAGGAGCTTCGCCCCTAAAGAGTTCGCAAGTATGACGTACCAGCAGAAAGCATAACCCTGGATTGATTGGTGGATCGTGGGAGAGGCCTGTGCCTTGCAGTGGGTGTAGTCAAGCTGATGATGATAATGATGATGAGGTAGGTGAAACGTGAAGATGAGCAGTTGGCTTTGTTGATACTTTTGCAGCGGATGATGATTAAACTTGCATAAGTTGTTTATAATGAGTGAGTCCTAAAGACACCTATTCGTAAAGCAATTCACATGGTTTGACGCCTGGTGCGATTCTACGCTTCTGCCATTTATATTAGTATGCGTTAATTAAACATCTCCCACTACATGGCATTCACATATGTTTTCGCCCGAAGCAATCGCAAAGACTATCCAAGCTCTGCAAAAAAAAGAAAAGAAAAAGAAAACAACACCATAGCTCTGCGGCAGTGCACCTGCTTGTAACGCAGACGGTCCAGTTTTGATTCTCACTGAAACGGCAGTATTTTATTGTTCGTTTATTATTTCTAGCT